ACTACTACTACTACTACTACTCACTTCCACCACTACGCTTTCCATTTGTGTACCACTGCTGCTGATCTTTTTTGTGGCTGCCAGTCTTTCCGATCAGAGGCTTTCCGCGATGGACAAGCTGGAGCTTAACCTAACGCCTTTTCGCTCAGACCGCATTTTGGCTCCAGACCCACCGCCAGAGCGGTCGCGCTGCGTCTTGCAATAACCTTGAGGGACAAATCGTACTGAAGATTTAGCTCTCACCAGGGTTCAAAGCGAGGGCATATTGAGGTGAAGACGGAGGCATTGAACAGGGTTCCTGCAACGAAAAGTCCCACTAGGGAACTTAAGCCTTTCGGAACTTCAGGGATCTCCCGAAGTGTGCACCTGCACGGGTGTTTGTTGTGGTTTTGACTGATGGTTGCCTCGACGGTGCCGGGTGCTTCGCATGGAATTACCTCGACACTGTTCACCGAAAGTGCCGAATCGGAAGCATTTGGGGGGCTAGACAATGTCCAGCCGGCACCCCAGACTCTATTTAAACCCCAAAAACTCTATACTTTCATGTGCCCCCCCCACACTGAAATACTTACTTTTGGGTTTCCAGAGAGTTCCTTCATGTAAGTATGGCATAACATACCACAAGGCATCCTGCAATGCATGCGGTGAGCCATGCATCCGGATTTGACAGACAGGATGCGGCAAAAAAACAACCCTTCCCTGGATACGACATGAACGCCTCAAGCTCTCATGTGCTACTTCGATTGCTCAAACTCTCAACCCGACTGGCTACCAAAAAAGAACAATGTAAATGAGCAGATGACGACAATCGGTTAGTAGCAAAACAAACAAGTACAGCTAATGGTCGTGGTTAGCAAAGCCCGTCGAGCAGATGGAGGGTAGGGCTTGTATTTGAGGGCAGAGTAGCCTTTAGACACTCTGGCGGCGGAAAGAATCGATTGAACTGCCCCCGGATCGAAGTGGTGATTGCTCTAAGTTGCGCTCCTCTGCAGAACTTCGTGCAGAAACCGACATACCTTGAAAGCAACCTTATGTTCCCTGAACGTGCTGCTGTTGTGGGACTCGTGTGTGGATCCGTGCCTGCCTGTGCGAGTGTGCGTGTCGAAATGTGAGGTCGACCTGCTTTTTTTTCCCTAAGGGTCCATGTACCCAAATAGAAAATACTTTGCCCTTAAAGTACTCCTTATTTGGGTACTTTGGGCCCAAAGTACATACTATTTGGGTACATGGACCCTTAGGGTTTGCCGGCTCTCATTGCAGATGAGTGGTCTTACGCGAAGGAGCCGTCGGGCTTTGGATCAAGATCGGCCCATTTACGCTTCAAGCAGACGTGATGTTTTAAATTACGGGCTGCCATCGCGAGTTTAGCTGGACAAAGTCACAGTTCCTTGCAAGACTTGTGACTTCTTTTGTCGCAATCGCTCGAGCTGAGGGTTTACGTTTGGGCCATGTTTCGAGGTTATTGTAAGTTGAAGGAGCCTTCCTTCCGGGCTTTAGGGCGCTCTCGCAATGTACACCATCCGCTTGCTACAGCTCTCTGGATCGTCCCTCACAGAGCTCGAGCTTCCACCTGCTGCCTCCATCAGTGACTTGTTCAACCTTTTGAGCATGAATCCCAAAGGTTAGCTTTCAGCTCCTTCACTGACATTGGACAAGTGAGGTGAAGTGCTGCAAAGGGCTCGCGCGTCCCTCGGCTTCGACCCGAAGATTCGGCTGCAGCTGCTTTACGAAGATCGGCCGCTACAAACGCAGGAGACCTTGGCCTCCCTGGGCCTGCCGGGCCCTCCCTTTCAGGTGGATCTGCAGCTCCTACACCAACCCAGGCTGGTTGAGCGCATTGACATGCAGACCTCCGACTTCCAGCAAGTTTGTATTTGCATCTGCGGGCAGCACGCGGCTGGCAAAACAAGCTTCTTGAATCAGTATGTGGATCACCGTTTCCATGCCGAGCGCGTTGACACCGTCATTTCCGTGGACTTCAAGGTTGTCAATCTTCGGGTCGAGAAGGAGCAAAGCACAAACTTTCTAGAAACACTCATAGCTGCCGTCGTTGTATCATGAGCACCAATCGCAGCGTCATCATCTTCCTCGACTTTTTCTCACCATCCACATCGCCTTGTTGACAGGAGAAGAACATGGTTCCCGTGAAGCTTCTCGTCTGGGACCTACATGGAAGTCACCACGCCTACAATCCTGTGCTGCATCCTATCATGTTCCGGCACAAGGCCGCCATCATCTTCGTGGCGGACCTGGAGACTCGGCAGCTTTGTGCTGATTTCTGCGCGGGTTAGTCAGGACTTCAGAGTGGGTAAATCTCTCCGTGTGTTCGGGTTTCAGAAATGTACTTTGCGTATCGTATCGAACCCTCGGATACAGGCAAACGGCTGCCCGTTCTTGTGCCGTGCAGGAGAGACTGCATCTTAATGAGATTCAGCGCTTGCTCGACTTGTCCGCATCGGAAGATGTCTTGGAGAGAGTCCTGGTCGGCAACAAGGTCAGATTGAAGGGACAGTATGGGTTCGGTCTAGGACTGGATGATTCTCGTAGCAGCAGCCGTAAAGGTAGTGGATGTGGTGCTCTGGTAGTAGTAAATTTTTAAATAACACTGTAGGGTACGCAGACCCGTCTTGTGTTTAAGATGCCAACCTGCTAACACTGTTACGCTGAAGCAAGTCCCTTCGTCAGCACTTTCAAATCCTGCAGCTGGCATTCCGTCCCCCTACTCACTGGACATGTTGCCGAAGTACGGTTCCCGAAAGCGATATTCCAAGTCTGGAGGCGGATGTCGCTGCTCCTGGGAACACTGAAGAGGCCGAGGCTTTCGCCACGGCGAACGGCTTGACGTACTTCGAGGCCTCTGCCAAAGATCACGAGAGTGTAGACGTGGTCCTTCGGCACATCCTGCACCTTGGCCTTGTTCAGGCCTTTTGTGGCTGGTGTTGTCAGAGCATTTCTGGGAGTCTGGGAGCAGGCCCAAATGTTGTATTCGTCTCGATTATCGTCGTCGTTGTAGTGCTGGGGGTAGCAGTGCGGCAGAAGTGGTATTTGCAGAATTCGCTGTAGTAGTTGTCGTGTTCGTGCTAGTTAGAAATACAGTGTATAATTTGTCGTGCCTGTCGTATTGTATACTGGTGTGCGCACTGCACTATAGCGTTATCTAGTACCTCGTAACTACTGAGGGTGCTACGTCTACTTCGGTGCCTGCGGCTTCGGGTGCTGCCGATACTACAACTGCTAGTACAAGTTCTGCTCTGACGAGTCCAACGACGTAGCTGTAGCAGCAGTGGTAGCAGTAATACAGCAGCAACAGTTTAAGCTGCTGAAAAAGATGTTGCCATGCATGTGTAGGAGTGTAGGAAGTCCGGCTGCTTCTTTCCCCTGCTATTCCTTCCGATCAGAGGCTTTCTGTGATGGACAAGATGGAACTCAAACTGACACCTTTTCGCAGAGACGGCGTACTTGCTCCAGACCCACCGCCAGAGCGGTTGCGCTGCGCCTTGCAATAGCCTTGAGCTACAAACCACAGAGGATGTAACTATTGCCAGGATTCAACGGGAGCAAGCACATCATGAGAACTGACGAATGGAAGCTGGAGTGTTGACAACCACCAGACTTATCGCTGTATTATTTTCGGGCTTTCGAACATACAGAGATAAACAATGTTGGCGAAGTACGCACTTGTTCGCAACGATGGGCTTCGGCCTCTTTACTGTGATTGATCATACCTAGAGTCTCCATTGTAGTTCCTTTCTTTGGTTTACCCAATTCTTTTTTTACTAAGGATCCTAAAAGGTAACCCCCAAAAAGGAACTACAAGGGAGACTATAGGTAAGTTTCTGTATTGAAACGATCCGATGTTCTGGTCAGACCGTGGCTTCGGCTTTAGCTCCCTGGAGGAAACTTTGCTTTGAGACGGGTTTAGGGTTTAGGGCTCAGGGTTTAGGGTTTAGGGTTCAGGGTTTTGGGTTATTTAGGGTTTAGGGTTTATAAGGTTGAGACAGATACAGTTGCACCGAGTGTGACAGCAAGCTTCAGCCCTACACAACCCTAGTCCCAGTTTTGCAGCAGGGGCCTCCCGGTGCCGGGGTACTTACCCAAGCCCTAAGCCTTAAACCCGAAGCCTTAAAGAACCCCTAAACAGAAAGCTCTAAACCCCAAGCCCTAAGCCCTAAACTCCCTGCACAAGCCGAGACACCATCTGCTTCGCGGCCTGTCTCGGCTCGCAGACTGGATGTCGTGCAGAAAAGATCAACACATTCACGGCACAAGAAATCTTCAACGGCTGTTCGTCCATCACCATTTTGAAGAGAAATACAGACAAATGAACAAATAAATCTATATATGTTTGTATATATGTATATATATACACATATGTACTTACGCCGAGCCATTTCACACATACGGATGATTGACATGCCTGTCCTTGTCAGTCTGCAGTCGTACGTTCGCCTGTCAGGACGCTGCCAGAAGTCGGGGTCCGATGTTGTCCTAATCCTAGGACTCAAAATATGGGTCCGTTAAAAGTGTGCCGCTGTGCCCAGCAAGCGTTTAACTGGGTTAATTACAGGAAACGAGCAAATCTGTAGGTTTCGGGTCTAGGGTTTAGGGTGTAGGTTTCTGGTTTCGGGCTGGCTGAAGCCATACATTGCGTCATTGCGGCGGCCTCCTTCCGGGACTGCAGGTTGCACGCGCCGGGGAGTTTTAGGGTTTTGGGTTTAGGGTTGAAAGGGTTTAGGGTTTTGGGTTTTGGGTTGAACTGATGTGTTTTTGAGAGCTTTGCGTTGGCCACCAAGGAGGCAGCGGAACTTTCAGGCAGTAGGGTCTCGAGGTTCATGAGCGTGTGTATTTACAGAACCTTATGCCGATGTGGCGATCGTTATGAGTCAACGTTGCTGACATCGAAGGGGAGGGTCAACTTTCTGCGACTGCTGTTGCTGCTGCTTTTGATTGCTGTAGTGCGGACATGCACGCCTGTAAGATGCTGTAGTGCCGAGATTGTGTCGGATTCTCGGCCTTTTGGCTGGTGAAGCTGCTGGGGGCGCTCGGTGGTCTAAGGTTCTGAAAGGCATGCATAAATTGACTGGGGTTCATGGACAAGATCTAGGTAGCAGGTGTTACTTGTTTCCAAACAGAGCCTCCAACCAATACCTGTGGTTGAGCTGCCGGAGGAATGCTGGCACCATCAAGCACCGGCTCTTCACCGGAAGTGTTCGGTTCCAAAACGGCTGGATACCTCGTCGCTTGCCTCACGTTGGATATTCGCCATGACTTCGCTTCGGGTGGCTGCCAGTTTTGTGGGAGACGCAAGATTGTCAACCCCACTCCGAATCTAGCAGTGCCGTGCGAGAGAGTCGAATTTCCCTTCGCCCCCAACATCCTGCGAGCCTTCAAGTCGATACTGAAAGAGCTTAAATAATTACCAATACTAGTTTGGGGGTTCCTTGTTATTGCTATAGTTTAGTAGACCCTAAAACCCTATTCTAATTATCGTAAGGCTTCGCCATTTTACGCCCCGCCCAGGATGTCGAGTCTGCAGCTGGCGCCCTGCGAGTAGCCGCAGGTCGCCCTGCTGCACTGCAGCCTTGGCCCCATGGCAGAAGCTTCTTTTGGGGGGTTTAGGGTTTAGGGCGTTTTCAAGGGAATACTTAATTTGGGTCAAGGTTGCTCACGTTAAGAAGTTCTTACGGATTGCCCAGGGTTGTGTGCCTGATGCTGTAGGGTGTTACTATGTGGACGCAACAATCTGTATCTGTATCTATTCGATTTATCATGTTTCGCACGCGAGGACCAGATGAGTGTCGTCGCTGTAGCCGACTTTATGCACATAGCTATAGACTTTGATCCCTCACGGCCTCCAACCCAAAGACCCGAAATACTCGGGTGGGCACTTTGCACGATCCTCACGCAAGAGAGAGAGAGAGAGAGAGAACCAAAAACAAAAACAAGAGACAGACAGAGAGTGAGAGAGAGAGAGAGAGAGAGAGAGTGACAGAGCGAAAGAGAGAGCGAGAGAGAGAGCGAGCGCGTAGTTATGGTGGGTGCGCGGCGCCGGCGGACAAGGATTTTCCGGAGGCTCGTGCTGTGGCGTGTTGCATATTTTGAAATCGGGACCTTGCAGCGGCGTCCCTTGCACATGGAGAGCCCGCCTCATTGTAATGTAGGAACCTGATTATTATATAGTTATTGTAGTTGTAGTATAATATACCCCCAAACCCCATTCTAATTATTAATGCCCTTCCTCTTTGTAGGAACCTGATGAAGAGACCCTGGCCCTAGAACCCAAAAATAGTAGGAACCATATATATATAAGCAAAAAAACGCCGGGATTCTTAATCAGGTTCTACATGTCACATTACAACACATGGGCCACATTTCGGCGAATCTTTTGGGCCAGTACTTCAGGAACTACGCAGACCACACCAGACCAAACAAGAAAGTTGGAAAGTCCGTTTCATGGGCCATTCATGGGGTGCCGGAAATTTGGATGCGCATCTTCCACCTTTACGGCTGCAACTGTACCCGCAAACGTAGCTTGGCTTCTTGGGAAGCTATGGTCTTTAGTTCACTTCGAAGAAACAATCGCTGAGGAAGTCCTTCTTCGTAGTTCGGACTCCGGAGAACTCGGAGGAAGCGCGCAGCAGACTCAAGAAGAACATCCTGCACTTTCAGGAAACTTGGCGGGGTGTAGCTGTGAGGGGTATGAGGCCTTTTGCGGAATTGAACTGGAAACAGTATGGCTCGGTCTGCTAGGGTCTGCTAGACGGTTTGAGGGTGCTTCGCAAAGGAAACTGATGAACGACTAGGCAGCAAGCTTCAAACGTGCTTCTTGGCTCAAGCTGTTGGATGTTGGGCTTTCGTGGTATTCGTGCTGCTTGTGATCGCGAACGTCTACGCGGAGATGCTGACCATTAGAAAGTTCAGTGTTGGAGTCCAAGGTACAGCCAGGCAGGCAAAGGCATCACAAGTAGTATACGACGGCTACTATGCCCGCGACTCTAGGTGCTTTGCTGATGCTGATTCCGATGGTGGCACTGACAGTGGCAATGACACGAAATTACATCTCTCATAGCTGATGATGAGTGCAGCACGTATCATGATGAAGATGATGAAGACAAGTTCCTCCTGGGACCCTCAACGGCCCCAACGCCTCACAACAGTAGCTCGGAAACGTGATCCGATCACCGTCGAACCCTCAATCCCAAAGCCCTACAGACCCTGAACCTTATGGCCCTAAACCCTTAAGGCGTAAAGAGGCCTTGAGGCTGGTTATCTGCAGCATATGCCGTAAAGCGCGCCACTCCGCTCAATCCTTGAACTGAAAACGCTAACTACCACAAGGATAACCTTAGAGCTGGGCTACTCTATCGTAAACCCCGATTTATAGGGTTTAGGGTTTAGGGTAAACCCTATAAAGGTTAGACCCTGAAAGTGGAGAGCATAACTATCCTCGCGAAGCAGTCGTTTTTGAACGACTCTTAAAAACCCGACAGGTGGACCCGAGCCCGAGCACCCAAGAAAAGTCGAAAACCTAAAAGCGCAGTGGTCAACTGTCCGAAAACGCACTGGAACCCTTTAAGGGGGACCTTATTCAGGAACCCTGCTATATCCTTTAAGGGGGCACCCTATTCTCGGAACCTCGGAGGCCAGCCATAAACTTGAAATCCTTGTAGAGGTTAACTATCTGGTCCTTGTCGCGATCTTTTTGGGTTTGCTGCTGCTCAGTGACTGGAGCCTTGGTGGCAGCGGCGGTGGTAGGCTTTACAAGCGGTTTAGGGTTTGAGGATTTGGGCGAGCATCACTCAAGCCTGTGCGAAAAAGGGGCTTTATCAGGGGCTCGAGAGCATGTTGTAAGCTTGTGATAGTTTAGGGCTTTAGACGGTTTTTTCGGGTGGTTTGAGATGGGTTGATGCGTTGCAGAGGTTTGTACGTGTTATGAAGTTTTAAGGCTTTGTAGGGGCTTTTTCGCATGTCTTTCGTCGTGTTAGGCGGTTTGGGGTCTTATCTTGCGGTTTGGGGGAGGTCGGGTTTAGGGTTTTCGTTTGTAGGGTTTTGGGATTCAAAATTTTAGGGGCTTTGAGGTCTTAGGGTCTCGTTCTAGATAGCCCCTAAGCCCAACGCCCATCCAAAAAAAGCAATACAAAATCCGGCAACTCCCAAGCCCTCAACCCTAAATGCTTGCATGTCCAGAGTTTCCGATTCGATGTCTAATTTAAACGCTGCGCGTCGTCCGCCTCGGCCCGGCCGTATGTTGGGAGGAAGACATGATGCCAGGTCTGGGGCTTTTGCTTTCGCAGGGTATCGGGGTGCAGCGTCTGCGGGGTGAAGAGTGATAGGGTTTGTGCATAGACAAACTTTATATAACTATATATCTCTATATATATATATAGAGAGAGA